GCCTTCCCCTCGTCCACTGAGCAGGTCACCTGGTCATAAAAGGGCACACAGCCCCTGCACCTCGCTACACAGAGCTCTGTGTGTGTTAACTCTGCTTCTGTCCTGTCCCATCCGAGAGCAGCTGACGCAGACTTCAGTTAAAAAAAACAATCATCAATAGCGTTGCAGCAGTTCGGTTTTGAAGAAAACACCAATGACTCTTGCTTCTTGGTCGTTCCCTGATTCCTGTCAGCAGATGTCATTCATGCACAGCAAGGAATATTAGCAAAAAAAAGTCAGGACAGTTGCCTATGATGAGGAACCTTATTTCACACATCAGAGCTTGTAAGACAACTTGGATCAACTATCTCCCAGTTGTTTTTAGCTTAAAAAAGAAGGAAGGAACAAGACGTCTTAATTACTGTTTGTCCTCTCATAACGTCAGTCCTGTCACCACAGGGAGGAGACAGTTACTCACACAGAAAGTTCAGGCATTTCGGGATGCTCCTGCAGTCACTCCTGACATTGAAACTCAAGGAATGCACAAGCATCGAATGTTTCAAACCTTCAGCCCTTGGGCTTTGCGGTTGTGCCCGCTGATGTAAAACACAGATCCTGCAATCCAGACCGTTATTAATGTGCCTCGTTCAGTCAGCCCTGCCGGCTTCTGCCCTTATTTCGATCCAGAGCAAGTTCCAGGCAGAAGGCAAATTCTCGAGGAAAAGCCTGTATTCCAACAAGCAGCAAAAGAGCAAACCAGAGCTCGCACAACGCTGCGGGGCATCTGTGCCGTGGGCATCTCCGCTGACTTTTCTGTGCCAGCAGTGATGGGATCTGCCCTCTGCGGTGCAGGTGCAGCAGTGGCACCCCAATGCCCTTGCCCGGACCCCTGTGAGGCCTCTGCTCCCCGGCCTGGGGCTCGCTGCGAGCACACCACGCTCGTGGGTCCTCCCAAAACTAAGCACGGACCCTGCACTCGCCTGACACCCCCGTGCGGGGTCTCCTCCTCGCCCGGTGGTCGCGCACCGACAGTGGCACCCCCAGCATCAGGCCCCAGGCTGTGACCCCTGCCCATCGCCCGGCACCGACCCCCTCCCACAGCCCGGACCCTTGGGCCCAGCCTCCCCTGCTGCGAAGCCCTGGGCTGGGGCAGTTACCCACCGCTGCTGTGGCCGACTACGCTTCTTGGTTCTTTCTCTCTGCCACGTTTCATCCCTCTGGTTTTCATTTCTGACTTCTCCCTTTTCCTCAGTGTCCCGCCCAGACCACCTTTCCAAAACAAGCATTACCGCACTCCACGCACCCATCAATAGTTAATATCCCTTTACCTGACCAACCAGGTCTGGCTCCCATCACTGCCTCTCGTTTGCGTTGCTGTGTGCTCTTGTTCATGCTGTCTCTTGTTCGTTCTGTCTCGCCTCTGCTGAGGCTGCTCCTCGAGTGCTGTGTTCAGTTGTGGGACCTTCACTAGAAGAAGGATGTGGAGATTCTGGAGCGTGTTCAGAGCAGAGCCACAAGGATGGGGAGGGCTCTGGAGAACAAGCCTGATGAGGAGCGGCTGAGGGAACTGGGCTTGTTTAGCCTGGAGAAGAGAAGGCTGAGGGGAGACCTCATCACCACCTACAACTGCCTCAAGGGAGCTTGTGGAGAGGTGGGTGCTGGTCTCTTCTCCCAGGTGATGGGGGATAGAACAAGGGGAAACGGCACCAAGCTGTGCCAAGGGAGGTTCAGGTTAGAGATAAGGAGGAAGTTCTTTACTGAGAGGGTCGTCAGAAGCTGGCACAGGCGGGGCGAGGAGGTGGTGGAGTCACCATCCCTGGATGTGTTTAAAGAGCGGGTAGACGAGGTACTTAGGGATATGGTTTAGGGGGTAGACAGGAGCGGTTGGACGTGATGATCTCAGAGGGCTTTTCCAACCGAGCCATTCTGTGATTCTGTGATTCTTTTCTTACCACCCTTTTCTGCACCTAAAAGGTTCTTGGCCAGAAACGCTTCGAGAGCAACCACTCTCTCCTTCCACGCGCCCTTGCAAACACTCCTACCTTTTCCTGACAGTCACTAAAAATGTCCCTATTTCTTCACCTGTCTGAAGAGCAGCAAAGGGACAACTTGGCATTGGAAAAAAATTAGGGGCCTTCTACCTCAGTCAGTAACTGCTTTAACAAACAAATCCCTCGTTACTGCATTAAGGGCCGTGGATAGGAACCAGACGGTTTTAATTAGCAGCCAATATCTCACATCTATTGTTGGAAATCTCCAACAACGTTCAACACATCCACTCACTGGACCCTTGTTGGTGAGCCTCAGGCTTTAGTTAAGGGGCAATAAGGTGAGGTTTACGTACAGCACGTGCCCTTCATGTACGCTAGGAAAAACCCGCAGCCCATCGTTAACACGCTCAAGGGTTACTGGGCACCTTTGCATGGAGAAAGGCTTCGAAGCGTCTTCACTGGATGCATCCCGGTGCAGCTGGGCTGAAACAGGGCTACACGACAGACACCTCTCTGGCCCTATCTGTTTCTGAGGGGACACCCTAACACCCCAGCTCCTTTTATTTCTAGCAGCCAAGTTCCGCACCTCGTCCTGTTAAAAGTGCCGCCAAACTCCTTGAAGCCAGGGTTAACGTCTGTCCTCCATTGCCAGCAGCTCAAAGGTGCTGCTGTTGTGAACACCGTCCTGATGATCGCTGCCCACCGGAGCATCAGAAAGTGCAGACACTTGCTCAGCATCACTGGGGCTCGGTAACGAGACAGTGACGTTTTATATGGGATGGCTGTTTAAACCCTAGCACTCTTGATTTCACATTTACTGAAGACAGTCCTATTTTGTACCGAGCACACAGGGTAGCGCTGGGAGCCACAGCTGTGACTTAACGATCTCAATAAATCCGAGAAGAGAACAATGCAAATGACTGCTTCTGAACCACACGTACTTGACAACCGCCACACCAGAATGAGCTTCAGCACACAAACACCGATACTTTTTCAGCCACGTACATGTAAAAACAGCTTACAGAACTTTATTTACGAAGAGCTGCGGAACACTTATTACAACGCTGGTTTTAAAGGGAACACACAGAAAACGTTATGTACAAAGAGGGATGGTTAAAACCCCAAGAAAGATGACAAGTTTTTCAAATGGCTGTGACCAAGAATCGCTTTTGTGGACAGACCTTTCTGGAGCATTACCACTGAAGCCTCAGCGCGGAGCTGCTGCTGTCTCAGCCGTCACACGTGGCAGCTCGTGAAGATGTCTTCCACCAGCCTCTTGTAGACCCAGGCATCACCTTTAAGCCGCTGTCGCCGGATGCCCACTACTTCAGGTTTACCAATGTGACACACTTCCAGCTTGAACGCCATGGTTACTGTGCCAAAATCTGACCGTGTTTGACATTTCAGGCTATAACTGTACAAAACAAGGGAAAAACAGAACCGTCACTGGACTGCTTAATGATTGCTTTGCAATGCAATTCTCAATTAGTAAAAGCACTTTGCAGAAATTAACCCGCTGCTGTTCAGAACACCGGGAAACAACCCAGAACTGGGCTTGAATACATTAGTCTCACAACACTGCTGTTTTGCCCAAATACCAACAAGCAGCACCAGCGTCCTATCCAGCCAGAAGAGTCACTGCTGGCCACAGACCCCTGCTCAGAGGGGGCAGAACGGAGATGTCCCTCATTTTCCTCAGACAAGGCCGCTCTCCTGTGTGGAGACATCGCTGGCGAGGCCGGTTACGGCTCATCGGGTGTGAAAAGGGGAAAAACCCAATCTGAAGTTTGAATCACCAACGGGAGAAGGTGCTTCTGTGCAATTCAGTGTCCTTCCAGATGCTAAGTGGAAATTTATCCGAGGCTGGAGTACACTGACATTTGTGCACAAAAGGAAAATCCATGGCGAGAGGAAGCGAGGACAGGTCACTGAGAGCATTACAAAGCAGTTGTCCCAGCAGCCAGGGACCACATTAGGAAAGCCAGGGTGCAGGTGGAATTAAACCTGGCCAGGGACATAAGAGGGAACGAGACGAATTTCTCCAGGTACATCAGTGATAGAAGAAAGGTTGGGGAAGATGTGGGTCCTCTCTGGAAGGAAAATGGAGGGCACGAGGGACGCGGAGAAGACGGAGGTGCTGAATGACTTCTTTGTCTTGGTGTTCACTGGCAAGGGCT